GTGTACCACAGGAGGGGAAGAAGCCATAACTTGTTGAGCAGGTTGAGAAATTTGAGCAGTAGGGTTATATCCTTCTGGCATATAACCTTCAAGCATTCCCCATGGATAACCAGGAGGTATGCGATGCTGAGCAGCAGTAGTATTCGGAGCAATTAAGACAGGAACTATCGTAATTTCAGAGATAACCATTGCTTGTTGTGGTTGCATAGCATGAGGAGGTGGAGGTGGTGGTGGCTGATTCTGAGCAGCCACTAACGACTCTACCAAATCAGTCAAGTTTGCCATTCCAGTTCTTAAAGCGGTAACCTCTTTGCACAGTTCGTGATTCTCCTGTTCAAGATTTTCCATCTTCTTCTTAGAGTTGGCTCGAGTGTTGTACCGATGAGACAACTTGATTCTGGAGACCAAAGGACCTTGGTTAAGACTTATGGGAAACTCATGAAATGCATAATTAAATGTAACATGATGCATGACATGCAATACAAATGCCATGTTTTCATTTCCAAAAGTTTCTACGCTTTGATTCCTGTTACTAAGCCACAATATTATTATATATTTTTTTGTGCATTTATCATTATTATTTTTTTCAATGTTTATTTATTTATTTTTCTTGGCTTAGCAACTGGAATCAAATAAATGATTTTTGGAAATGGAGAATATGTATGCTGATGATTACATTAACATGCTATGTATGCAAATATGCGGGATCAAAGCTTCTGCAATACTGGATAGCGGCTAAATTGATAACAGAACCACTGTCATATGTGATAAGATCAAAGGTCTGGACCAATTCAGAATGCCAAGAACCAAAGTCAACAGTATGACCAGAGTCACCAACTGAACATGTATAGTCACCATTTGTACCTGTAAATATTATTCCCTCCCCACTCACGAGTAAATATTAGGTCATGAAAGGTCGATGGTAACTCAGAATCGAGGGTACTCCTGAAAAACTATCGTCATATCACCTGCGTGAAAATGATAGCCCCTCATTTATAGCTCATTTGAGCGTGGATGACATGACGGCGTAGTGAAACCTAAGTCAACTAGCCATTCATGTTCCACTCTATTCCTAGTGTTCCTATGGTTGCCACTTGGCCTGGGTATTGAGCCTTTTACCCCATAGTAACACCCACCCAACAAAGAAACATAGAAACCAGCACAACAATATAACAAATAACAATAAAGATGCAATGCAAACATATGCTCAAACATATACAAATGAATAACCCATAAAAGCATAATGATAAACACCCTAAGAAACGAGAAATGGGAGCTAGGAGTGACTCATGGGATGGACCAGCAATAGGTCTATCTATTATCCCCAGTGAAGTCACCATTTTTCTGTAGAGGTAAAATCAATGAAGTCGCCACCGAGTATTTATTTATCCCATATAAAAGGGAAAGGAAAATTATCGAAGAAAAATCTAAAGGGGGGAAATCAAGGTCTTGCGACCGATAGATTGGGTAAGGGAGTCAATTACGCAAAGGGAAGGTATTAACACCCCACACGTCCGTAGTACTCTACGGGATCCACTCTAGTTATTCTAATCAAAGGGTGTGTTCAATCTAATGATTAAGACTTATAAACTAAGAGTGAATGCATGCAAAGAAAACACGGGGAAAAGAAGGAAATATTTATAAATTTTCGCTCGACTGAGCCCCGTGACCAGATGCCTACGTATCCCTTTTAAGGAATCAGAGCGCCGTAGTTCGGCTCATATATTTTGTATGTTGTATTTTTTAAATGAACAATGTTGCATTCGATCATTCCACCGTTGCTCGACCTTTGGAGACTTACGACCTGTAGTGGAAAGGAACTGACAATTCTCTTAGAAGAGAAAAGCCGAATGGCGAAAATAAATGGATTGGTTTGTATTTTTTACCATGAAAAGAATTTTTGTATGCTTAGCATTTTTTACGCATTTGCCAAGAAAAAGAGGTTTTAGTTTTAAATGCAATTATGCAAAAGAAGAAAGAAAAGTCTAAAGGGAGACTAATTTATCTCTAACCTAATGTTATCATACAATGAGTGATCCTATCTAGGTTAGCATGCCAAAGAAAATCTAACAAAATATCCTATAGGGAACATACAATGAGAGCGAAGTCGTGATCTCAATTTATAAATTGAGTGACTCATCGATCAACGAGAAATAAAGGAAAGCGATAAAATCCTATAGGGAGCATGCACTGAGAGAGAAGTCATGATCTCAATTCCTAAATTGAGTGACTCATTGATCAACGAGAAAGGAAACAAACACAAGCACAACACATATAATAAATGAAGTGTGGAATGCCTACTTCAGTTCTTTAAACAACAACTTCGAACGCACGCTCTTTATTTCCTACTTCTCATGATATTTAGAAATCGATAAATGCGGAAATGTAAATTGGAAGCAGAATAATACCAAACGAACAATAATGTCCGCAAAACACACAGCCAAAGCAAAGAAACCCGGAATACTTCACGCAAGATGGCATCAACAAATAAACAGTCAAAGATCGAATATTTGGAATATGTGTCGAAGCTTCATCGATGTGAAAATAAATCACAATTGGAATCCAAACACATCTGCATATCCCAAGATAAACTTGTATAAAACTCAAACCTCGACAAGCATAAGTGAAATCACCAAATCTTAGCGACAAAAATGGTTATTAAACGTAAACAATAGTAGAAAATTCTAACAAAATCCAAAGAAAAAAATTTATATTGTATTCTATTATTTTTTGTTATCCTTTATTATAAAATTTTTTTTAACAAGGATATAAAAGAATTAATTCCTAAATCATAAAAAAAGAAACTAACAAGTTTTTATTTGATTATTAACTCTTTATTTCTAATGTCATTGTAAGAATTAAAAAATAATAAAATTATATAATAAAAACAACTAGATAAACTCTAAACAGGAGGTATTGAGTTGCAAACAGGGAGTACGTGGTGCAGAAACTGACCAAAGGTCCGGTCAGCAATGTCCAATATATTTTTTTTGTTCCAATCTCTTCAGGCTTCACAAAAATGCATCTAATGGGCTTAGGAAGGTTGTGATCTGGTCTAGAATCAGTTTAATAAGCCTCTTCCAATTTCTACCCATCCTTTTTAGCATGCCATTATTTAATCCATAATTTTCAGCATCATTACGAATTAATACTCAGCATAATATTTATTTAATTATCAACAATTAAAAAAGAAATTGAAACAAATCGCAAATTAACAAACAAAACAAACGGCAGCGTATTGGCAAAAGAATAGGGCTAAGCAGAGTGGCTATCCAGCTCTTAAGAACAAACGTTTTTCTCCTTCGTCCCTTGTGATTTTCGGCGGAGTCGCCACAACCATCGCCCCCACCAAAACTTCTCAAATCAAGAGTCTCCATATACTAATCCTAACTCAAGATACATCCTGACCTCACATCGATCATCAGCTTCCTCAGATTTCTTCTCAACCTCATAGATCTAAATCACACACAAAAACCCTAACAAAACTGAATTGAAATTAAATGGAGATGATATGTGTATTCACACCAGAACCATGGGGCAAATGATCGTCGTAGTAAGAAGAACATCATAGTATGAAGATTTGGTGGAGGTAGTGAAGAAATCCGGAAGTAAGCTTACCGACTGGGACGTAGTTTTCCCCAATAATTGTTGAATATTAACTCGTGTGAAGGTGACAGCGAAGAGAGACCCAGAGAGCGCTGCGATAATCCAGGTATTTCTTTTTCCAATTCTCGATCTATTTGAACGCGAATCTTCCTTCTTATTTTACTTCTGTACTTCGGCGCGCGTAAGCTTCTCAAACCATTGTTGTCATTTTTGTTGCATTTGCATAATGGAGATCGTTAAAATCGCGATGATTTGCTTGAAGATTACCGATTGAAGCTTTGAGATATCATACAAGGAGGTTGCAGGTCGAAGAAAGAATGAGAAGAGTGAAGGTTGAAGATGAAGATGACTGAAGGTGAATGCTAAATAATGGTGATTGAAGACAAGCCTCTGTAGAAGAAGAGAGTAGAGATTTTGTGATTATCCTGTTGAAGGTGGAGGCGGGGAAGACAGAGTGAAAGTTTTTTTGAAGATTCAGAGTATGGAATGTTGAAGATGATAGAGAGTGGAAAAGGTGAGTCTTCAATCTCTATTATCTGTTGTGAATCCCCCTCTAGAATTCTGTTTTGAATCTGTTAGCCTTATGTTAGAAATATCTTAACTTCTCCTCCCAATTCAATTATTTCTGTTATCAATTAGTTAGCCCACGGTTAAAGGTGTTAGAGAGTTAGTTATATGTTGATGAGCTGGACAGTTTCTGTTGTAACAGTTTGTTACAAAACTCTATCACTCTGTTAATCCCTTTGATGTGCTAATTTTCTGATTTATTGTAGGTGATTAGAAACAGTTAGATGGTTAGAAGTTAGTTATCCCTGTTTAGAAAACAGTTAGCACTGTTGGTTGGTTAGTTGGAAGGCAAAAGTGAATTTGGTTAGAAAGTCTGCAAGTATGTTGAAGTTGTTAGCACCTTCTGATATATTTCCCTGATATGCTAAGCTGAGAATTAGATTTGAAATTTATTCTATGTTCTGCTTCCTGATTTTTCTGAGTTTTAATCTCTTTTAGTATTCGTTTTTTTTAACTACTGGACACCAAAAAGTTGTTATGAAACTGGCGACATTTTGATTATGAACTGGTTTTCTTACAAGGAAGAACTTATGACAGAATCCTCTATTCCTATATTTGATGCAGAGTCGGAGAGAAGAATGAATCGAAAGCTCCATATTGCAAAAAATGTAAAAAAATGAAAGGGAAAAAAATTATACAGAGGTTGGAGCTTTCCATGATCAAGTCTTATGCTAAGTTGATTTTCATTTGAATTTTCCTTTAGACTGTTATTTCTTGAATTTTCTGAACTGATTCCATATTGATGCAGGACTGCATATTTAGTTTTGGTTTTAGGCTATTGATGTGAATTGAATGAACAGGGAATTCCATTGAAAGCAAATGAGTCTTCACAAAGAGGAACCCTGCAAAACACAAATATGCAGAGGAACAACAAGGCGTCTACCGGGAGATACATCATTTGGATCTTCAAAGGATTTCAGTGGACTAGTGTAGTGGATCAATAGAGATGGGAAATTTCCTTCTTTAGAATGCTTCGTATTATCAGCGTCTGCCGCGCCAACCTGCCAGGTTCGCGAAGTCACAAGAAATGTCACTTCTTCTCCAAGCTTTAGAGGGAGGTGAGATTTTAATGTTTCAGAAGAATATGAAATTACTGAATCTTGATTTTTCCCCTTATTCTGTTGTGATCTCTCCTTTTCAGACTTGTTGGTGGAAAGATGAAGAACAACGCACAACAAGAACTATTTTTGGAATCATTTTCGATAGCTCTTCATTCAACTCAAAAACATGATCGCATCCAAATTGATCTTCTGGAAGAACAATACTAGAAAGGGATTGGTCCATGACATCCGGTTTAGCTTCAAGAGAAAGCCACCTTTTTGAAGAAGCAGTAGCCCTTCTAATAGATGCAATATTCAGTATTTTCTAATTCACTTCACATGAGTTTTGTCTTCCACATATCTCACTAGTTGCGCGTCTGCATTTGAATCTGTTTTGAATGCGGTAAGTAGAGTTATTAGTTAGCTGTTATTGCGTGAACCCAATTTGAGTTATGGTATGGCTTGGTTTTTGGTTAATAGTTTGAAAGGCTTTATATATATGTATGTACTATATGGTGTGAAATGGAATATGAGGCTTTGAAGAAAAGAGTTAGTAGGTTTAAGTATGTGTTTGTGCTGAAATTAACTTGAAAATGGCATGCAATACATGATAGTTTTTTTTGGACTATTATGTGGAGGTCTAATGCAGGTCTGGTGTAGCAGCAAGTTAGGGGCACATTGGTAATGTACATGGTTTTCAACATGAAGGCTTTGCACATGGAGGCACTTTGTGGTTGACATGAAGTTCAAACTTGGAGTTTTGACATGATTTTCAGAAAATAAAAGTATCATGGTTGAGATTCAGTAGGAATAAGTCTTAAGACAACAATCTGACTTTGGTCAAACACCCCTTTTTTGTAATTCGTTCAATTTGTAATGAATTCTTTTTCACTTGTAAGGAATCTTGACTTGGAAATGTGAAAGACAATATTTTCCTTGTAATCCTTATCTTGTAACCTTGCTTATCATCAATGATAAAACTTTATATTCCATATATCCTCTTGTCCAAAAAGCATACCTCTTTCTTTTGTTTTGAAATGGTATGTGTGGTGATGATTTGAGATTTAAGTGGAGATTATGTAGAATTTGGACACCTTAAATTTGTGATGATTTATACTTGTATGATCTTGAATAATGCTTTGAATGAATAATGAACATAGTGATGTATACATCTGTTACTTGAATCCCAAGAAATTCATATGAATTCACCATTTCCAAATTTAGTCATGAGCCAAATCCCAAATTGTTCTTTTGAATAAATTGATCTGATGGAGTCATTCAAATGAAACCTCATATCAATTATCCATTGATCAAAACCAAACCAAGTTTCCTTCTGGATGAACTTTTGTCCTTAATCACTAATCCAAATTAACTTGCATAACATGTAACGAGTAGTTAAGATAATGTCTTGAACACAATGAACCCTAATCATGTACCAAAAATGATAAGAGCACCAGTTCAATCAACATTAAGAATGTAACAACCTTAGTCCACAGAGAAAAACCCTAATGCCAAAACTCTTTGATCCTGTAACCATGGGACCAATGCTATGCGTGAGATGTACAAAGTATGATGAGGGATCTTAAGGGAAAAAATTGGGGTATAACAACTAGCATCCTTTCTACCAAGGATAACTTCGTATTTCCTATTAATCTCAGCCCAAGCTAGTTGTACTTTCTTTAATAATCTAGGATTTGCCGCCTTATCAAAGAAAACATAATCTTCTACATCCTTGTCGAAAGGCTCACCATCCATTGCATACCCTAACTGAAAAAGTGCGAGCATAGGATTGTAGTTGATGCAACCATTTCTTCCAATGAGAGGGACGTTAGAAAACTACTCGCGGCTCATAATGATCTCAGAGTTATCCATCTCAAGGTTACGCAACTTTATATCATGATAAGTGAGGCTCATAATTCTTTGAGAAAATGAGTAAGTGTCTCAAACGTCTACAAATCGTCCACCTACGGGTAGGTGATACATGAACCACTTACTCAGTAATGGAAAACAACAAACAATTATTCCTTTCGTTCCATACCTGGAGTGAATGGAGTGGTAAGTATCAACAAGAAGAGTCGGCACATGGTTTTTATCCATGAAGAGATAAACAACAGTGCAATCTACAAAGTTAGTGACATTTGGGAACATAACTTATCCCATAAATCAAGGAGGCCACTATAACATTGAAGGCCAACCAGTTTCTTTCACTTGTAAACTCTTTAGCTTTCATTGTCAAAAATCTGGACGAAAAGCCAACGACACCACTTTTGTGCTTCCAATTCCCTTTCACATCATCCAGGCTCAAATAAAGAGCTTCATTGACAGCTTCAAGATTAAACACCTCTGGAACGTTGACGAAAGGCGCCCGATTTTTAACCTTGATGTTAAGAATGAAGGAATACTCCTCTAGAGTAGGAAGAAGCTGATAGTGCTGGAAAGTGAAGCAGCGCAAATTTGGGTCGTAAAACTATAGAAGAGTTGGTAGAGCCCATGGCTCACTGGTAGCATTCAAGAGAGACGGGATATTACCATAATCTTGAGTGAAGCTTCTTGAACTATGCTTGTCAACTTGAGCTCCCAAACCTATTAATGGTGTCAAATCCTCATGAAAGATATTATAGGGAAAGATGTGCCTGGTAGCCATCTCTGATGAAGATACAAACTCTTGAATATCCCTGGAAAATGACAATGCATATGAAGGTTAACTTTTTTTTGTACATTATTATTTTGAAAGATAAATATTCTATGATGCAATATGATAGGATCAAGGCTTACAAAACAATTGGATGTTGTTGTGTTGTTGTCTAAATTGACTAAGTATCACAGGATTAAAGGCTCGACATAGCTTTAAAACACATATAAGTCACCAACAAAACCAAAGTCACCAACGGTACCTGTCAAAAATATCCCTCCCCACTCACGAGTGAAGTCTAGGTCAGGGTAAGGCAAGAGTGACTCAAAATCATGGGTCCGCCTGAAAGTAAAATCATCGCAACACAGAAGTGTATGATGAAAATACCTCATTTGTACCTCAACTGAGCATGGTACACATGACCACACTAGTAGGACCTCATCTAGTAGCCGTCATGTCCCCACTATTTTCCTAGGGTTCCTAATGGTTTATAACTCTGGCCTAGGTATTGGGCCTTTTACCTCAAAAAGTAACATCTGAACCCCATAGATCAACAGCACAACAACAATATCTAGAGTATAGGAGACAATAAAATAAAAATGCAATGCATGAAGGAATATAATCAAAGCATATAAACTTTTTACCTATGGTTTTGGTAAACAACGTTGGTATCTTAATAGAAAGTTTACTAGCGAGATCAACCGAGGAATCTCAGTATAATGCCTCAATTCTCTAGTGTTTTCGCAAAGTGTTTTCAAAAGGGGTATGTTCGACTAAGGCGAAGCGGGCCTAAAGGCAATAAAGCAGGAAACTTAAAATAAAACAAAGACATTTAAATTGTAAAAATAGATGACATAACATCAAAACAAATGAAAATGGTTTGATTCAAACATACATCTCCCATGCTTGACTCATTTCACTCGTTCGCTTGGGTACCCTGAGTGACTAGCGTGTAGGGATGTGAAAGTTTGAACCCCCTACACTATGCACTAAGGGCTTTATTATAATACATGAAAATAACTACTTTCTGGCGGGCTTCTCTTCCTTATGGGCCATGTGTCCCTTGTAACATCCCTTCACAAAACCACGTTTCCCCTTCTTGTTGTCGAACCCAAGTTCTCTATTGTAACTTCTCTTTATGAACCCACGTTCTCCATTCTTGCTATCGAACCCACGTTCTCTATTCATAATACTTTGCTTCGTTAGTTATTCCCTCTTTTGGGATTTTTAACACTCTTAGACCTAATCCATTCCTCGTGAGGTCTCTTTTCTAGTCGACCGCGTCTACAAGCCCAAATTTCCCTTTTATGAAATCTCCTATGGTCGACAGCTTCTACGGTCGACTTCCTACAATCAAAACATCTCCAAATAACACTTAGCTTTTGGTTGGATTTTGACCCCTTTGTAAAAATCTTAGCCAACAAATTGCCCCCAAAAATCTCTTTTTCAACTGGAAAACTGAAATGGACATTTTAATCCTTTTCTCTTAGTATGAAATGACATCATTGTAATCATGACCTTTTCCCTCAAACGTCACATCAGCGATCACACAGCCACTCCCCTATTTTCTTGCTTCAACTTCCTAGGATAATCGTGGCCCCCAACTCACCAACTTCTTCAACTCTGTTGCCACCTATTTGACACATGTCAATCGTGTAGCCACTTTCTCCCCCAACATTTAGTCTCCTTGGTGGTATAAATACAAATTTCAACTCTTTGGTTTCCTCTTTACATTTCTTTGCATATTCAAGCTCTTTGTCTTTGTTAGCCATAAAACTTATCATCTTCATTTTAATTTGCTATCCAGAAAAAACCTTCCATCATCTCCATGGCCACTTCCAGCCAAATCTCTGAACACATTCAAAGTCCTCAGAAAATTGAATTGGTTTCCAACATGAAGGATTTCTTTGTTCATGATTAAAACACTTTTGTCTTAGAACCAACGCCAACCCGCGATCTCTAAACCTTTCGCTCTCAGCTATTGCTTCCCTTCATCTGCAACAACACTGCTCATGCTCTATTGGGGCCTATTCTTGATAAGGTTAGGGTACCTAAACACTTGGAGGTATGCTTCCCTACTAACAAAACCACCAAACCCCCTGTCAACCGATATTGCCCCATAGATTTTTCTCACATCTACAGTACATATAAAGTCTTCTGTTCCACCCCTGCTGTCAACCAAGATAATGTTGCATGGTTGAATAAAGTAGAAAAGTGAAGGGTGACATTTGGAAGTCTCAATGCTTCTTTGACTTGATTTAACTTTCTAAGGGGCCCTAGTTATTAAAATTACATGCTGATTTCCGCACTCTAGTTTTAGGAAGCCTCTACAAACACCTTCCATTTTACAGCTGGGATGCTCACTCCCGCCCTATTTGACGTTGTGGCCATCACTGGTCTCCGCCCTACAGGTGAAGCGTTTCTCCCTGCGAAAGCAAACACAAACGTTATCCCTTTCAAAACAGACATTGGTGGCTTCACCAAATAGATGGAGCGTTTTCACGCCAAAGGTGTCGATATTGTATTTGATGAAGAACATATTGCCTTCTTAGCCTTGTGGCTCTCTAAGTATGTTTTCTGCAGTCGATCTCTGAAGGAAGCTAAATGATTCA